AATATTCTGTATTTGTGTTAAAGAATTATGGTAGCCACTAGCCATGTGTGGTTACTGAGCCCTTGACATGTTGCTAGTGCAACCAAGGAACTATTTTTTAAATTGTATTTAATTATAATTAAATAAAATTTAAGGGGCTACATATAGTTAGTGGCTGCCATATCGGACAGCACAGCTCTTGAGTTTCCAAAGACATCATTGGTTTGGTGGGCAAAGCATGGTCGGTGACATTGGAGTTAGGCTTGTGACAGACTATCTATATAAAATAAATAAGCCAGCTACTGCCCCCTCTGTATATAGTCAGTATGGTTGCATCCTTCAGTGCCTGGAAGGACCAGAGTTGGGATGCAGCACCCATCATTTCTTTTTGTACAGATGAGAACTCAGTCCCGTGTGCATCTCTTCGGGCTGGGAGGTGGGTACTGGCTTCCCCGACCACTTTATGTATGGGCGGTCTCAATGGCCGTAGCCCCCAAGGATCCTCAAGAAACTATACACAGATTACACATAATGTTCAAGGATGTCTTCTGTTTAGAAGAACCTTTCAAATATTTTGGTTTTATTTTTTCAAGTGAGTATCAACTTCCCGGAGAAGGATCTTACCATAGAGTGAAGTAAAGAAAGGTAGGATGTTATCTGACTGAAGACACCATCACTGGAAAACTAGTGATACCAGGGGAAATGGCTGTTCCTGAGCTGACGTGAGCCGCCCTCCCTTTTTTTTAGGCTATTTCAGTCCTATGAAGCATGTAATATAATAATATATGCTATATTATATGATAGAGAGCTATAGACGTTATAGAAATATATCTAAGAGAGAGATAAGTAAGCTGAATTAATCAGAAAAGGCTTCATGTGGATCTTACAGCTTGGGATGGATATGGTACTCTGAGGGTAAAGGGGCCAGCAAACTAGAGAGGAGAGTATGAGCATTAAGATTGGAGGGTATGTGGTTGGGGAAACTTGGAAATACGGTATGATAGATAGGGTAGGGCAAGACTACAGAGAATCTAGAAAATCATCCATAAGAAACTTGTTGGAGGCCACGAAAAGCTATGAGAGTAAGTATATCAGCTGAGACAGTTTGAGCTGCAAGTAATAGAAAACTTGATTCCACTGGCTTTAACAAAAAGAAAATATATTATTATTTCATGTAGAAATCTAAATGCAGGACCTAGGTTGGCTTTTTTTCTTCTGCCATTCTCTGATGGTTTGTTCTGAGACTGGCTCTCTTCATGGTCACAAGATGGCTGCTACAGTTCCAGACATCATATCCAAACATAAAAATGGCCAGATGATAAAGATAGGGCATCCTACCCTGCATGGCTTTAAAAAAAAAAAAAAAATCAGAGAAGTAAACCTTTCTCCATATCCCCCTTAGATCTTTCTTCTTATCCACTGGCCGGAATTACATCACATGTGTATGCCTAAGCAGTTGCTGGCGGAAGGAATGCCATTTCATGAAACTGAGGCTGGAGCCATCTCCCTTGAGACTCAGGGTTACACAGAAGAAAGCGGGTCCCTGAAAATTTATATTCTTCTAAGAGAGAGGAAGGTGTATTTGCTACTGGCAAGGTAGATCAGACTTTATGTGGCTCAGTGCTTATACATTTTGGGATCTCTCTTTAAAAAAGGCATACAAAGGCGATAATACAAAAGATAATACAAAATTAAGAATAAAATAAATAAAAATAGTAACATTTTAAGTAACTGCCTGTCACATCCCTATGAAACTCTTTCAAAAGCCTTTTTACCTGACAATGGTTTTGTATGTCATTTTCTGTAGCAATGATAGAAATATAATAAAAGTCTTTCCTCAGCATGACAGATTAAAATTTTTTATTAAATTGGTAGTTTGAAAAAGTTTCTTTTTAACTTTTGCTGATAACTTGCTATTGGTAATGCCATGTAAAGATTTAAAGTTGTTGCTAAAATTGAAGAAACCACCATTCAGTTTCTTTCATAAATGAGCTGTAAGATCTCAGAGTTTTTCAAGTTGTCTTGTGTGTTGGCTAATCTCAAATACGCTTTTCATTTTTGACACTCCTAAAATAGTTGTCGATGTCCTCTTTACAATGTATATCGTGAGTTTTGTGCTAAATTTGTTGATGTCAGTATTTTGTGTCGAATCATTAAGAAATTAAAATTGTTTCCAGTGCGTCCACATGATTTGAATTATTAATTAAATTATCAAATAATTCAAGAGTCTATTCATTACTTTTATTTACAGTTTATCTTTTCTTCTTAATATATTACTGCTTAAAAAAATATTCTGAATAGTTGGGCACAGGGAGCGTGGAAGAGGGAATGCAGTTAGCATTAATATGATGGCTAAACGGAGGGCCAGGGGAGGGAGGGAGCAATTGGGGGGGATCGTTTTATGAACATTATAGATGTCTAACCAATGTACTGTCTACTTGAAACTAATTTAAATAAATAAATTTATTTATTAAAAAAATATTCTGAGTGTAATCGAAATGATTCCTAAACCTCCCTATTTGCTTTTAACCAGTGCAGGTTTACCTTGAAGTAAAACACAGAAACTTATTCTAATAAACCTAAGCTAAGTGTACCCCCAACTTAACTTCCCCTTATCAGTGAACTGTAAACTACCCACCAACACCCTGCTGCTCTTCAATATGAGGGGATATGTGGGAGAAGGAAACAATAGTAGTCAAAACCAATTGTGTTGAAAATATCTTACTCACATTTAACCTTGAAAGTGAGATGCTCTTCTCTTCTGGGCTTTGGAAAGGAGCCCAGAAGAGTGAGTGACCTGGGGGAGATTAAGCTTCACCGGCTTCATGGTAAGTGGTAACTCTACTTCTGGCTCCTGGGTGGACAGCCACCAGGTCTGTTCTCATGTTGTAAGATGAGCTGGAAATGTTTGGGAGCAGTGAAGTGAGGAAGCCTGGAATTAGGGATCATGGGAACCAAGACAGAGCAAGGTTCCCAGAGGACCTAGACTGGGGAGTTGCAGGGGGCCTGGAATGGAAACAGGAGACTGGGGCCCTGGATGCAAACACTGCAATGCCTGGTGAGCGAACGGATGCAGCAGATGAGCATGGGCCGAATTAGTGATGCTCTCAGATAATCAAGGCTGGATTAGCAGGAGATGGGCATGGCTAGTGGGGACAAAGGTGAGAAGGGTGGGATTGTCACACCCTGCAAAAAACACAGTGTGACTTAGTTAAGATGGTCAGGAGGAGTTGATATCTGAAGCTAGCTGAGCCCCCAGCAGATTTTGGAGGGCAGCTGAGTGCAAGAAGTGATTTACTGGGGGCTATTCCTTAGAGTGCAGCAAAGCTGGAAAAGAACCCATTTTTTTTTTTTTTTCTGACTCCTGTTCTTTTCTTTACCGCAGGGCTGCCTCCCAAGTAAAACCTTTACCTCACGCTAAGAATTCCAAGCTGGAAGAAGGCATTCTTTCTTGCCTAAGGAGAGACTTCCTGGGAGGTCAAGTCTTCATGGTGGGTGGCTCCTCTTATTGATGATTTTATCAGTTGTAGGGAATCTGTGCTGGGTGTTACGAATATCCATAAAACAGGAGAGGGAAGGAGAAACCTATTGTATTAAATCTTTCTTTATCCATTCAGTTTTCTTCCCTTTGCCTCCTATGCCACATGGTATTGGTGCCAAAATATACATTCTGGTGCCTTTAAGCAAAACTAGTTCTTCTGCCAAGGAGAACTCTGACACTAAACATTCTGTTTTTCCCCCTTTAAAAAACCCTTTATCAAGTTTTCGCCACACAAAAGTTGAAGCTTATCAGTCACTAAAGCAGTTCAGTGATGATTTTGGCTGCTGTTTTTCAAAGGGGACATTCATTCATTCATTCATTCAATAAATACTAATCAAATGCTGCAGTATGTCAGCCACTAGGCCTGACAATAGAGCAAACACAGTCACAGTTTCTGCCATCTTGGAGACACTAATCAAATATATCACAAACAAATGTAAAATTGCAAGTCACCTAAAGAAGAGGCACATACTTGGCTGATGTTAAGCCACTATTTAAATGCATACATACTGATCATAGTGGATATTTTCTTCAAATGGCCTACTCTCTGTGTGCCAAATGCTGTTCCACTCATT